ATTTTATGTTTATGTGTTAAAATAAATGAAAGATTGGGTGTTTTTTGGTTTGAATTTGATTACCATTTGGGTCTTATAGTTCATGGCTGTCTCTGATTTACTATCACGCGTTTCATTTGGAATATTAATGGTAATTGAAATGATGCTAATTTAATCAAAAACAGAATGATGGTCTTTTTGAAAAAAAAATTTGCAAAGAAGCTAATTTTATTGGTTATTTATAGAAACGTAGTGATGATAAAATCAAGCAAAGACACACGATACGCGAAAGATTCAGTTGTGACACATGATGGGGTCAAGTTTCCCTGCATGGTTTTGCCAGATCTGATGTCGTTTCGACAAAGATACGGAGAGAACGCTTATGACAAGGTGAGTTTTTTAAGATAGCCACAAATATAATTTAGTTCCCGAGTCAAATACTATGATTGGTCGTTCCTCAAGTTCATTACTTTAATTTAATTTTAATTTTTAGTTTTCTTTAAGTTGATTACTTTAATATATTGGAGGTACAGTGAATGTGGTCCGTTCAAAATGCTGCTGTAAATTCATTACTGCAAAACTCATTGAACCATCAAAGGCTTTACTTGGAATCTTTGTGACTATGGTTTCAAGAGCATGAATTATGATGACAGGCTCTTTATCTTTTATGTGAATCATGTACTGGCAGTTGGATGTGATTGGTATCGACGAGGCTCAGTTTTTTGAAGATCTTTATGATTTCTGCTACAAGGCTGCTGATGAGGATAGAAAAATTGTGATTGTTGCAGGACTGGATGGTGATTATCTGAGGTGGGTATCAAAAGACTTTTCCCTTTTCCTTCCCCATTTTGTTTGTCTGTGTGTGTATATATTGATTTGTGATGGTTGCAGAAGGAGGTTTGGGTCAGTGCTTGATGTGGTACTCCTGGCCGATTCTGTAATAAAGTTGAGCGCTCGGTGTGAGATTTGTGGGAAAAGGGCATATTTCACGCTGAGGAAGACGCAGGATACCCAGACAGAGCTGATCGGCGGAGCTGATGTATACATGCCTGTTTGTCGGCAGCACTACGTCAACGGTCAAGTAGTCGTTGAAGCTGCAAAGAATGTCCCAGAACCTCGCCAATTCAATCTTCAACCTGCTTCACTTCTCTTTTAAATGCCTCTGCTCTTTCCATCAGGCGTCTGATTCTTGTCTCAGTTTCTAGTCCACCACATATATTTACAGTCTCGCTGCATCCTCATTATGTATATACAGTTTTTAAAAAAACATTAAAACTATCTAAATTTTTTTTAAAAATAAATTATAAATTAAGGATAAAATTGAAATAATTAGTTAGTGTTTACATTTTTTACACAATAATTTAAAATACTAAATAGTATTACGAAAATTATTCTTTTGAATGAAATACAAAAAAATTAAGAAAATAAACAAAAAATAAATAAAATTGATATTTTAATTGTAATTTTTTTGTGAATTGGATTTTGGATTCTGATTTTTTTAATATAAAATAATTAAATAAGGAATGAAATATATTAGTTTAGTAAGAATATCATATTATTTATTGATATATAAATGAAGTTTGGTAGAAAAATTAAAATAATTAATAGAGTTTTTAATTAAATAAATTTGTTTATAATAAATAAAATTTTTTATCATATATTTATCATAACGAGATTTGTAAAACAATTTATATAGACAATAGCATAATACAAATTATGATTTCATATGTAATCGATTTGAATAATAATTTTTTCCTTTATTACTTTACTGATATTTATGGGGGTTCATAGGGATGTTTTTACAACGTATGAACTCTTTTTTTTTAACATTTTTAACTAATGAGTCGTCTCTATACCTCGTCCAGTATGAACGCTAAATTATTAAATTTTAATTTTTGTCCGGTATGAGGGTAAAATGGGTCGTCTCCATACCCTATCTGGTATGAGCGTCAAATTACTAAACTTTGATACCCTGTCTGGTATGATACAACGTTTACGGTAGGGTTCCTTATATATTCGGTCCGTCTACTATCTTTCAAGATATTTAGTAAGGTTGTCATTTCATCCATTCAATTAATCACGCAATTTTTCGTTTTTCTTTAATATCTATTTTTTAAATTCAACCGTAAATACATAAAATAAATAACACATGCATTCAAAACTATAAAATCGATTAATCAGATACTATTATGCATTCAAATTGTAAAAACAATCAACAGAAATAACAGTAGATAATTTTCGGTTCTCTCTCCATTAGTAAACCGTAATTAATTATGAATATTTTTAAAATTGTACAAAATATCGTATTATTGTTAATTTAACTTCAATTTCATAGTAAGGAATAGGGTGGGGGATTCTTATTCAATTCGATATCTGAAAAGCTATACTTGTTATCTGTGCTTATTGGCGGTCTTCGGATTTCCTAAATTTTTTTTAGGGATTAAAATGCGCTAGAAGTACCTACAAATATCCCAAAAAATCTAAAAACAGTGCTAGGACCATTTTGTGGCCAATTTTGAAATTCTGGCACGGTGGTGGTCCGCCTCAAATTGACTATTTTCGGCCAATTTGCATCAATTCCTGCGAGAAAATACGTTAAAAAATCTTGGTTGGCAAAAAAAAAATGAAAAACCGAAACTCATGGGCGGCTGGGCTCTCCGGTGCAGCGGCTTCACTGGCTCACTCTTACAGTTGGGTGTTTTGCTTCGATTAACATGTAGAGAAATAAACGGTGATTAAAACAGTGAAAAAATTTCACATAACGAGAATCGGGAAGGGCCTCATCGGAGGCGATTTTTGTAGTTCTCTGCAGTAGCGCCGTCGGGCTTTGCCCGTAGATTTCAATCAATCGGCCAGTCCTTTTACTTCAATTTAGCAATGAGGGTGTTTAAAATTGAATTCCAAATAAACGGAATTTTTTTTACCTCTTTTGGCAGTCGGAAGTGGCTCCGGCACAGCGGTGGGTGGCAGCGACTTCCTTTTCGACGGCTGAGTTTTCTTCTCTAGCAGGAGGGGTGTGGCGGTTAGGGTTAGAGTTTGGTGTGAATAGAGTTATTTATATTTGTTTCTATTTAATCTGAACCGTCCATCACATTTGATTTGGACCGTTCGATCACAATTAAATAGGGAGTGAATATGGACCGTTCATCGCCATATAATCTAGACCGTGTTTAAATAGGAAGTGAATATGGACCGTTGATCGCGTTTAAATCTGACCATCTGATCGCGTTTGAGGGGGGAACGCATCTGGACCATCCGTGCTCGCGGGAGCAAATCTGGACCGTTTGATCGCAGGCACGCAAATCATACGCGTGGCCTCCCGTGTGGCACCGCGTCAGTGTCTGTTATCATGCAGTGTGTTCTGGTTTGTCGGAACTACTGATTTGACATCTTACGTGGCACAACTTTTCTAAATTGTATTTTGATATCTTAATTTCTGATTTTTTTAAAAAAATATTTTCAAAACTCAAATTTTCACCTATTTTTTTTAAATTATTTTTAATTTCATTCTCCATCAAATTTTCTTTATTTTTACATTAAATTAAAATTAAAAAAAAATAAAAAATTAATTTAAATTACATACAAATAATTTTGGGTATTACATATAAGCATATAAATCTATTGCACCAAATTTCTGTAATTCACTTCTATATGGTGGGTCCATTATCATCTCTAATGAATCTAATCTTATAGTTTTTTTTTTTTTTTTATAAATAAAGTCTTATATTCAACTTTTATCATACTTTACTAAGACAATGTTTAATTAAAATTATATGATATTTTAATCGAAGAGTTGACTGTTTAAAGTCTATTTCAATTTTTTTTAAAAAAAAACTGCTAAAATCTAGTTGTTTATTTATTTTTTAATGAAATAAGAACTTGTTTAATGGTAAGAGACGTTTTATATTTTTATTTTCTGCTAAAAAATGGAAGAAGAAAACAACCAAAAAAACTAGAAGCTGTATCGTAGTAATTGAAACCAACAAATCTTAGTTACAAATATGTTTATTATTTTAATTTTCTTATATTTTATTAGCAATTTCTCCACTCAGTACGTGATTCTTTAGTTCTTTTTATTCAGTATAAAAGACCTATAAATATTATACATATCAGACGCATCTTTGTGCACGGAAATTTAATGTGCAAACATTTATTTCATATATATATATATATATAATGTGATAGGATATAGTCCCAGTTTATTTTATTTTCTAATGAATTATTAAAGATTACTTTATGAATTTCATTACATATTTCATATAATTTTTAATATTTCTGATAGCTAATTTTATGATTTTTTACTTATACACCATGAACTTCATCCTCCAATGAAAAATGCAATTGAGTCCAAATCTGATTTTTTTTT